TTTATACTTATTCATTTGTAAAATACATTGATCTTGTCTAATGTGTTTATGCATTCCATGTATTTTTCTTATTTTATTTTATTTTAAACATATTCTGTATTATGTGTTTATAATAAGCTTCCTGTCATTCTCATGCTCCTAAAATTTGTCATGTTGTCAGCAACTTCTAACTATGTATTGAAGCGTGCGAGGATATGATTAACATCATACGAAAGTAAGGGAGGTCAATGTGATTTCAGAAACTTAGCAGGGGATATCTGTAATTGCAAGTAATTCAAGACAGGCAAATGCAGATTTTCCTTTTCTAATTGAATTACATGTTTTCACTGAAACTAGGAGCTGGCATAAGAGTAGTTCAGATGTATTCCATCATCTAGATAAAATTTATGATTCTTGTGCATTTTCAGAGTAGTTGATTAATTCACGCAGCAGCAAATGTTTTAAAAAATCCTTATGTTTGTTGTAGTTAGTTGTTCTGCGATATATATACATATATATTTTTTCTGATTTTCTGTATTTCCCCCCTTTTCCCTCAGGCTCTGGGTGCTAGTTTAATTGGAAGTGACTGCTCGTACATGGTTGTTTTTCACTATGGCTCAATTGTCCTTTTTAATGTTCGGGATCATGAAATTGAGGGATATTTGAACATCGTAGAAAAACATGCTTCTGGAATGCTCCCTGACATGAAAAGAGATGGTAAGCTTGGGTACAAACAGTTATACTTGGGACTTCTTTAATATGTAAAATTTGGAACTGATGAACCCAGGATCACATTTCTGTTATTTATAATGATATTGTGACAAGATATGTATTGGAAAATCTGTTTTCGGCTATTAATGCTTTGAGCTAGGGTGAAAGAATGCTCCATAAATGCAGTTTAAGTCTGTTGCTACTGTAAATTAGAATCTTTGTCTGTTACAATGTCCAAGAATATCGTTGAAACAGTTATTTATATGCTTTTCACTTCAGAAGCATTGGTAGGAGATATGTCTTTGCTCTTGTTCTTCTGTTCAAATTTTTTCAAGACAGCGAATTAGCGTGTTGAACTGTGTAGTGAAAGCTTTTTAACAACCTTTGATTACTCACAGCTTTTTGGTCTGACTTTTTTCCTTTTGACACTTTCAAATTAGAATATGAGGTCAGAGAAAAGCCAACTCTGAACACTTGGATGCAAGGGGGTTTGGATTACATAATGTTGCAATATTTAAATATTGATGGGATTCGTACCATTGGCAGTGTTCTTGGTCAAAGTATTGCCCTTGATTACTATGTTCGCCAGGTTGGTGTCCCCTCAAATTTTTGTTCTACCACTTCGTGAAAATATTGCTCAGTTAAGGGCATTTAAGCTGTATTGTGTGTTTTTAGGTTGATGGAATGGTTGCAGAATTTACTGACATTAATCGTGGAATGGAGAAAACAGGCACATTCAAGATGGAACGAAAAAAGCTTTTCCAGCTAGTTGGAAAGGCCAATTCCAATCTTGCTGATGTGATTCTTAAACTTGGACTCTTTGAACGGTAATAATGTTGGTGCACCTTGGAAGAAAATATCTTTTCTTGGCTTGTCTTAGAGATGCTTCATAACTCTTATTGTTGAAAAGTTATTTGTCTTTTCTTGTAAATAACATCTTTTCCTTTGCCTGACACCCTGTCTTTTCTATTTTCCTTCTTTCTGCTGCTTGGTTTCCCTTCTCTGAACTGTTAAAGGATCATCTGTCTGCTTTTTTTTTTTTAATTTAAAAATTTTTAAATTTTTTAGTATTACTAGCGCTAATTTTTTCAATGAGCCACAATCTTGTTGCCAAATCAAATTCTTTGTTAATATTTTTATTGTTGAAAAGACTTCTAGTTGTGTGGCATTTTTAGCTATTCAAGAATCTTATGGTTTCTAACAGACCTTGTTTCCTTCAGGTCAGACATAGCGTGGAAGGATGCTAAGTATGCTCAAATATGGGAATATCTCAGGGATGAATTTGAATTGACTCAGAGATTTGCAAGCCTGGACTTTAAGTTGAAATTTGTGGAGGTAATTTTTTGTTGCGAAAATGGCCTTTTGTAGTTCTGATGGTTGTTTTTGACATATTGCCCTTTTCTTGCAGCATAATATCCGTTTTCTCCAGGAGATTCTTCAAAATAGGAAGTCAGATTTTCTGGAATGGCTTATCATTATACTTATAGCTGCAGAAATCCTCATATCTGTTTATGATATTGCCCACAAATCAGCAATTACGTCTCTATGACACCTCTAGGTTACAATGGCGAAGGAATCATTCATTTTTGCTAATGCTGATTGCCGGTCAGTTTTTGTGTATATCCTTTAGATTATGCTTCTAATTTGATAGGGAAATTGAAAAGAGAAAGAAGATCTTGAAAATATCATTCTTTGTAATTTTTCAATGGAAATTTGCTGCCCAGTCATCGACAATTAGAATAGCGTGCATTGCTAGTTCAAAATATCCCACGGAATGTTTTCTCCAGTGCACGTCTTCGTTACAGATCCCTCCATATAAGTTATTTTGATGATTTAATGAGTATTCTTGCTTTGTACTGGTTGATTTGCATATAAGTATGCAGTGAAACTTGATGTTTGTCTTGGATTTGCATTTTTCTTGGACAATTTCTTTCTTTTATCAAGTCAGTTAAATGTAGATTTTACCTCTTCTTCTAGTTTTATTTTTGGCTGAGAAATGTGGAAAAAAATAAAAGGAGGGAGAAAAGGAAACCCTTGTTTAACGAGTGAAAGTGTCATTGGCATTTGGCAATGGTACGTGTACACTCTCATTCTAAAAATGTACAATGCATAAGAGACTATCTTGATATTTTCTTGCGTATGGTCTCAACTCTCAAAACATCTCGAGGGACTCAACTAGTAGTTCTGGATTCTGGTTTGGCCAAAATGGCCACGCAAGTTACTTGTGTCAGTTGATGCACAAGATATGGGGTTTGTCATCTGTAATACAAAACTAAACCATTTTAGTCGATGAGTTTGTATATCCAACATATGTGAACCTGCCCGCTATAAAGTCTGCTGATTACCTACGCACTACAAAGTCTGTAGCTTACACTACCTTTGGGCTTTCTGTCTTCCAGTGACCAAATACAAATAGTTTGGTCATTGTAAACATAAAACAGGCTTTTGTCAATTGAGAGATTGTGCATTATGCGGACCTGATGCCTCTGATTCTTGCGGTTTCACTATTTTTCTGTCACACGATCCTTTAGACTTGTGCGCATTTTCCCTCATGAATAGAGTAGGAAATGAAACGAGTCAATGACTTGCAAGATTTGCATCTAAACTTGTTAACGATGTAGAATAGAGCCTAGACTCTCCCTGTGGTTGGTTGAAATAGTGCGGGTAGATATGGGGGCAGTGGCAATACAAATTGATAAGGACAAGTTACTTCCTTACAAAGGGTTGTGTGTTTGAATCTCACTGTCAATGTAAGAACTGTGTTTGTAACTACTCAAACATTTTGTTTACAAAAAAAAAAGTTCCTGTAAACGATCTATGGTTCCGAGAGCATGCCAAAATTGAAAATAATCTTTTGATAAAGGGAACTTTATTGAAGACTAAATTGGCGATCCAAAGATAAAAGGAGCAAGGAAATCCACTAAACAAGAAAAGATTGTTGAATTTCAATTGGACTGGCAGTCCAACTTCAGATTACAACCATAACAAATCATAGACCATCGTCTATTTTTTGGAAACACAATTCTCAAGAAGGAACCCGACTCCTAAACATAACAAGACGAGACGAGACTGATCATTCCAGCAGCAGAACATTAGCTTGATCCCGTTGATTTTAAGGCTTGAAGAAAGGATAGAACTCGTATCTAACGTTGCAAGTTGCACTAACAAATTGAGCTCCTTTCCCATCAAAGAGATCGGAAAGATCATCAATCCTTCCCTTAATGCAAGTGCTACAATTGGCAGGAGTCAAATCCAAGGGGCACTGAACCAATCCATAGACGTACAGTAGTAAATGCCCTTCAATCTCAATAATCCCTTTAGCAAACAAATTCTTTGATGCAGAAGCCTCATCAGACAATCCGTACAAAAACTTCTGAATTTGAGCCAGTGATGATAGAGGGCTGCTTACACGAAATTCACTCCTTATGAAATACCCCGTACTTAAAGGGTATCCAAAATCGTTGAAGTTTGAGTATTCCAGTGAACAATAGTCGTACCAAATGTTTGCTGCTATATGGTATGGACAGATTTGGCGAATCACTTTTGCTGCCTCAAAAACACAGATTTGACAGTCGGCCTTTGAGATATCTCCTCTACAGAGAGCTGAGCCATAAACTGAGTCATTTTTTGATTTTTTTCCCGATACAGATATGTACTTGTATCCTGATGCAGGAGTATTATAGTAAAGATCGTTTAAAAGAATGTTCAAGTTCCTGTCATAGTCCCTGTTGGCTGTAAAGTTTTTATAGGTGGTGCATGTATGGTAGAGAGGTTCAGCCCCAGCTGCGATTTGGGCTAACAAAGCAATGCATAGAACAGCAATGGTAAAGCTCAGTTTTTGGAAATCCATGTCAGAAGGATCAATGTTGTGGAGGTGGCTATCTCCTCAGTCTTTTGCAGCATTTATAGCAATGCCAATACATATATCGTCAGTGATCATTTCGAAGCTTTCCTAGTACCTTCCGATCAATGTTTCTTTTTGCCCAGGCTTTTTGTCCGTTGAGAAGATTGCCTTCGCTGCAGGCTGACTTGCTTTTTTGAGTTCGTTGTAAATTTTGGGGTTGTCTTGTACGAAGCTGTTCAGTAAATAAGATTCAAGAAATTTATCCTCACTCGGTTAACTTTTTCTTCGATTAAGTTGTAAAAAAAAAAATAAAATTGAATGGCACAGGCGAAAAGGGAGCAATGAAAGATCAAGGAAAGAGGGAGAGAAACAGATTTTACAGGTTTCCACTTGTAGCAATATGAGATGTAATATTGAATATCTTGGGTTATTCGACAGCGAAGTAGAAGCTGCAAGGTCCTTAACCATAAATCAAACTCCTTGAGACTGATTTTCTCACTCTGAAATGAAAAATATAGTTTTTATTGGGCTTCATCCAACAATATTTCCATTTTGTATTTTTCCAGGGCATATGACAAAGCAGCTATCAAATGCAATGGAAGGGAAGCAGTCACGAACTTTGAGCCTAGTGCCTATGAGGGGAGATCAGTGGAGCTGCCAAAGATGGAGGTATGCTGATCGTATACGTATTTTGCTTTCTCTTCATTCAACCCTTTCATCACATGATTGAAAGGAGCAGGCTATTGACGTGGTACGGTTTCTGTTCTTGACCCACAGATGCAGGTAGAGGTGACAATCTTGATCTCAACCTGTGGATTTCTCCAGCTTCAGATGGGCAGAAGGAAATTGGTGATTCAAAAAGTTCCTGTGCCCATTATGCAGCTTCTGATGACAAAATGATAAAGGTATCTCTTCATTGAAGTGATTAGCAATTGAAGTTCTTTTCTTTGTTGTTTATACTTTAATCTTAAGATTTATCCAGAAGAAAAGATGAACTGCTTCCAAGCTTTTGGTAGTCTTACAATCGTTGTAAGAGCCATGAAATCTTTTTCTACTGTTTTAGGAACTTCGAGAAATTCTGGTACTCAGATTATCTTCTCCTATTCCTTGGCCTCCTTAAAAATACTTCGACAGGTGGAGAACTCCTTCAATACTCCTGAATATCTACCAATGGCATCGCAAGATTCTTCAGTTTGGACCCACACATATTCTGGTTTTGGTCCAAAGAATGAGGTAATTCTTTACTAACATGATGTCCGTGAACAGTTTTTCATTATACCATATAGGAGCTATTTCTAACTTTCAAACTTCAGAAAATTTAATCTCTTATATATATATAAAGTTGAAAAGTAAATTTTGTGTTGTTTTACCAATCAGTTCAAATGCATCTTCAATTGTTATTTTATTGAACTACTTTCAGAAGAGTGAATGGTCCTCATGCTTCTCCATTTTTCTTGAAGTAAAGGCTTGACTTTAGACGATTCTTTTTCTTTCAACTTTTTATGATTCTGGGTTGTGGTCAAGATGAAAACAAAACAAAGAGATAAATCTGGTTTATCTTCATAAACGTGATGTTAAGACATGAAAATCCATTTGACAGGAAAGAGCAAGGAAAATGAGGCCTGAAGGCATTCCGATACCAGGATTATCAAACTGGCCATGGAAAATGCATTGCCATGGTGTGATCACCTCGGTGCCTTTGTTTCCTTCTGCAGCATCATCAGGATTCTCCACAGTGACTGCCACTTCAACCACGCTTGTGTCAACGAATGCCCCAAATAAGATTGTCCACACCTCTGCCTTCCAGCACCCTCCTTTGACCCTTAATTACAATTAGCAAGCATCATCATGAAGTACAACCTCTTTGAACAACGTTTGTTGGGGCTTGGAATTCAGCTGGCAAAGGAATCCACTCTGTTCAGTGCGGGGTTTCATTTCTTCTATGATTCATGCATATATGATAGAAACAAAGATATTTTGAACATATACAATGGGGTATAGGTTAGTGCAAAATTGTGTAGAATTGCTGCCATGAGAATTGTTGTATAGCCATTCACACTGTTTGGAACGTGGAAGTGCTCCACTGACTGCAAAGAAGCACGGCTTCTCTTGAGCAAAGAACTCAAGCTGGTTCAGTCCTGCTTGACCTATACAATGTTACCTATACTACAAATGGAAACTTGAGGTATGCCAAAGCTCATACTTCTAACTGGTGGTTTAAAGTCACTCTTTTAACTGCAAAATGAAACTCGTGGTTTTTGCTCAGCCTGGTTTTGCACGGTGTTGTTTTACCGTTGCTCTAGAGAGTTTTCTTGAATTTGTTGTGGTGAAGATTCATCATGGAGTATACGAAGAAATAGCAACCGACACAGATCCTCCAGAACTCAGGAATTTGAGGGATGGGGCTACTTTAAACTTCCATCAGCTATTAAACACTTCAGCATCCAATTCTTTTGCATCCAAACAGAAAGAATGCCAAATAACAGAAGCTCCGTATTACATCAAGGTCCTAAATCAATTGTGCACCAATGAATTGCTGTGGAATGTGTGGGAAATTTCATCATCAAAAAAATCAGTCGTTAATTGCTTCCGGCGCCTTCAACAATATTTGAAAGAAATAAAAAAAAAAAATAAACGCTGCTGCAGATAAGAGATTGGGCAGTTCTAAGTGCAATTGCAAGCCCCACTCCAATGCTTCACGCATTTTTTTTTCCCAGAGTAATCCTTCAGCAGTTTTGCTGTGCTCAAGCAGGCTACTGAGAGCTTGTCTACCCCCAATGCAATAAGGAACCTTTAGGCTTTATTTGATTAGTAGTAGGAAAGTTGCGCAGGAAGCGAAGTATATATATATATATAAAGAGAAAATCACTTTCTTGTGTATTATGTTTGTTTGATAGGAGAAATTTTGATAGAAAATGGATGGTTAGCGGCACTATATTGTAAATATCAACAATTTTCCTCCAAAATCCTGCAGATTTTGCAGGACAATAAATGCAGAAGAGTGAAGAAACATTGCCTAACTTTCCTTGTATTAAAACAAAAAAAAAAAGAGTAACTTTCTTTCACTTTTCCATCCTGTTCACTGCAAACAAACACAAACTTAGGCTTTCAGCATGATTGATTATCTTTAATGTACAGAAACCATGATCCATTGGGTGTTTTATGATAAACAGGTAGGACCTAAAATTTGGGTTAACTGTTTGCAATTGTAATCATGGTAGTAAAAAATCATATTTTAAGGGCTTGTCTATCAATGGAGAGCAAAGAATGGCCACTGACTACAGTGACCTTTCTCCTTTTCTCCATGGCATTGGCACATGCTTAGATTATATTCTCATTCGCGCCCGTCCCCTTCTAAGGTCAACCAAGATCAATGTATTGAAAAACAATGCTTGTGTCATATGCATTTAAAAGAAAAGTAATGAACTGTCTCCCCCTTTTTGTGTGTGAAACAATGATCAGTAGCTGCATTTGGACGGAGGATTTGACAAAGAATTTGAAAACCTCTCAAATCTTTTTTATTGTTTACATTATTTAAGAGGCACTCAGATTCATAAATCGACAATTATTCTAGTATTTTTAAAATATATTTAGATAATTGATGAATTATAAAACTAAATGTACTTTTACTGATCCAAACAACTAAAGCAATTTTGGTAAATTTCAAATCTCTCATTTTCATCCTAGGGAGTAATATATCATATGTTTAGGAAGTACAGAAAGATGAAATGACATGGGAATTAATCACACGCAGACCAGTCTGATAAAGAAAATGTAGTGTCACAGCAGCCTTATACTGAAGGCAAAGCCTCCAATTTAATTATGTTGAGATCAGGCAGTTGCTTCTTATTAGGCGTAGTAGAGCTTGTTACATGATCTTGCAAACATATGCCTTGAGGATGAAGAGCATGGCTCATCCCAATTCCATGTGATTCAAGGGATCCGAAGAGCTCAGCACTGAGATTAAAACAAGCGGACAAAGATTAAAACAATTCATTCTGATAACTTCTAACAAGAAAGACTGATCATTTGGCAGTAGAATTTACCGCGATACGCTTTTTTAACGCTGCTAAAAACTCCTTTGGATCAGCTTTTGTCACTTTATAAGCCTCAATCTTATCAATTTCCTGTTGCAGAAGCAAGTTAAATAGGTAATAACCAACTAAACTGCTTCCAGTCCCAACAACAAAAAAAATGCAATGAACCCTTGAAGATGTACTCTTCTCCTAACCAAGGGATTGTACAGAATTTCACTTTCAGATCAAGGATATCATATCAGCATGAAATTCAAAAGCAACTATGTGTATGAATGCAAGTGGAAAGATTCTATCTCCAAGCATGCCCCAATTTCTTTATGGTATAGTCATTTCATTCATGCCTACTTGGAGGATCATTAACATACTTAACTACAAACAGGAGCTGCATGTAAATAATGCTTCCAGTTTATTCCTGATAATTTTGTACATAATTTTGCATGGGGAAAAGTCTAAGAAATTCTGTGATTACTCAATCCAAGCTGCCAGTTTTGGCCTGCCCTCTGTAACATCGTACTTCTTCACATCCGACGCGAAGAGTTGGAACCTTTCAACAAAGGGCGCATAAGCTACATCCACCTGAATTTGCGCAGAGAAAAGATGAATCAACCTATGCTTCTTCAAGATAACATAAATACAACTTCATATCCTATCATAATGCTTGACGGAAGAACTTCATTAACAAGGTATATGTGAACAAATAGAAGTTCCCAATTTTGCTCTTACAAGACTGAAAGTTCCGAGGAAGAAGGGACCATCATCGAATTTGCCAAGGGCATTCTCGAGGTAATCAAAGCAGCACCTGATCAAATAATGCACTTTAGCATCAAAGTTTACAGGAATTAGCAGCCAAAATACATGATCACTTACCAACTTCACCGATTCCATCTGCTCTGAAGAAGAAAATCCAGCTCCATTAAAGGAGTCGGAGTAGGACAACAAATGTTCTGCAAACTCTCTCTTAGCGGGGTCCTACATATTTGGTCAGAGAATCAAATACACCTGTTAAGAGCAGCCAACTTAGCTCACCAAATTTAACTAGAAAATTGTTTATGAATCTTACGTTAGGAAGAAGTGAAGGACCTTCAAAGTTTTCATCGAGATATTTGATTAGATCAAGAGACTCTCCTTTGACTTCATTATTATGTACCAGAGCTGGCACCTGCTTGATAATGAGCATAAGAAAAACCCATGTGATTGATACAAAGTAATACATGTAATAATTGGCTGCTGAAATGAGAAATGAAACTTTCATCTCAATTTCAAATATTAGGTTACAGCAGTTGGTTATCAAGAAATCTATACATATCAGTCCACAGGAATTATTTATAAACCAATTGAAATTTCCAGGCTGACGCAAGCAGCCATGGCTCCTCAAACAGTACAAAAGTTTCTGGCTGGTTTTTGTGAACATTTAGCATGAGTCTGATATTGCCGCAGAAATTAGCATCAGAGATCTCACACAACATGGTGAAATTAAATAATACCCAACCTTGTTTGCTGGGTAAACTTTCTCCTTGTACCAGGCTGGCCTATTCTCTAGGTCCATAGCGATCAATTTTATTTTATCTTGCAATCCCTGCAAACGCAAATCAGAAATTACAAATCTGATTATTAGATCAAGCAGAATCACCACCAAAGAAGTCCCCAACAAACCTTATAATTCCTTGTGATCCACACACGTTGTGCATACGGGCATATGTAGGCTGTGAACAACCTAATATCAAGAAATGAAATATCGTAGTGTCAAAATATTATCATACTCAAACGAACAATAGTCACTGTAAGATTTCCATGTTGTGATCCAAAAATTTTGGAAATGACCAAAAATTTCGGTTTCTTCCAGTTCGATGCACATATTGTTGAGATTTTATCCATGTCCCTCGTTGATTCTCAGTTCATGTGTAGGCAGGTTAATAACTTTTTGATCTAAATCACTGGGCCAAAATGCTTAATCCAACTTTACTAATATCCTTGATCAATCCGATGTAAGATGCAGGCCACTTGCATTAAAATGAACCAAACTGAGACAAAGTCAATAAAACAAGAAAAAGCGGTGCCATTGATGATTCTCTTGGGATTAAGCACTCACTTGGTGGTTCCGTCAAAGATGTCAGGAGGTGGTTCTGAGGAAGAATCAAGCGAAGGTGGAAGCACCTCTTTGACACTACGAAAACAAAACATACCCAAATCAGTAACAAGATCCAAAATTAAACACACCGAAGCATTCAAGATAAAGAAGAAACAGTGAACAAACAAAAGTTGGGATTTAATTACCCAGAAGCCATTGCTGAAGCTGACAGCGAAGATATTCCGAAAACTTTTTATCTTGCAAAGGAAGAATTGGATGGTGGTAGCAGTAGCAGTAGTACAAGGATTCTTATATTGCCATGATGATTGCTTAATTTCAAAGTGGCCACATAACATTCATATTTTTCACGTGTGTTTGCATCCCAAAATCGTGCTTTGACTACTTGAAATGCGGACTGTGTTGCAAATCTTCGGATCTGAACAACTGATAGCCATCCATTAAGTGATAGACCATCTGGTCTTGGGGTTCATCCGGAACTCCAAGTCTAGTGGTCGAATCCCACTTAACTCCGGGTGCGTTTGGGGTGGCGGTGTACTTGGGTGCAAAGGATTAGTCGGGCCGCCTTCGGGTCTTGACCCGAACACCCCTGTATTGACAAAAAAAAAAGATAGCCATCCATTAAGAATTTAAGATGTAGGTCAGGTATTAAATTTTTTAAAGAAAAAAAATTAATTAAGAAAAGTATATATAGATATAAAATAAAACAATAATAATTAGTGTGTGCATTCAATAATTAAAGACCCTACTTTCTCTTCATTAAAGAAAAAGGCCAACTCCTGTATGTAGGTTGGTAAGGTTGGTATCTCTTTTTTCTTTTTTTTTTTTGACAAATTATTGGCTAAAATACTTTTTAAAAAATTCTCAAATTTTGGTACTATTTTGGGATTTTTTTAGTGTTACTTATTGAAATTTTTTTTGCACAAAAATTAATTATTTTTTTAACCGACTCAAAAAGCATGCATGTAATTTTTTTCATGTAGTGGTACGCAAAAATCGTGAAGTCAAAGGAGATTGGTAACATATTACAAAGTTGCTAGCTGAAAAATAAACTCTTGAATAGTAGATGGACACAAGAACAAAGAACACATTGGAGAGACCTTGGATACATACATTTTTTTTTTGTTTGCTTTAATTTCCTTAGCTACACATACATTTATGTGTGTGTACGTACATATCTACATAATCTCAAGTCCCAAAAAAAAAAAAAAAAAAAAAGGAAAACACCTTCTTGTACATTTCCCGACGTTAGGATAATGATAATTTTGTCTAAAGTTCTAATACGTAGAAATATAATAGAGGCAATTTCGAAACATTTGTAATTTGTAACAATCAAACATAAATTTTGACCAATGAGGGGGTAAGGTGCTCAAAATTAAACATTAGAGGGTAAAGTAGTTTTGAGAGCAAGCATTAAGAGCATTTACTGCCATAGTTTTTACAAGAAATCTATTTCCAGGATTGCTATCCATGCAACCAAAGTGAGAACTAAGTGATTATTTGGAGGAGGGATGAATTGGGTGATTTTGAGGAATGGAGTGTAAGTTTCGGGTTTCGGGTTTCGAGACCTTCTACTTATGCTAAAAAAAAAGTGATTTATTATATTATCATTTGTGTTTCCATCAGTAACAATCGCAAATTTGGCTGGCATAGGAATCGAATCCGCAGACAGGTCTTGCCTGATGACTTGGTCTCCAAGAAGAATTTTAACAATTTGCAAATTTAATTCAGTTGGTGATTCTTGCTGTTTGAGGTATCTTGAGAAAAGAATTCAACAGCTGTTAAGTGCTGCTGCTACGTGTAAGCATCATGCTCCCAAACTCAAAGCATCTATTGCCAAACCCAAACCCAAACCCATTTTTATGTAGTAGATCCGAATTCGATCCGTATGTCCGACGGGTCTTGACCTTTGAGTCTCGGAACTAGGTCCAGGTTTACCAGAAAAGAAAAAGTTCAAAGTTAAACATTTTAAAATTAAATCCAAAACCAATCATAAATCCAATAAATCAATTTACAAAGTCATTACTAAATTATTAATTTGGTAAAAGAATGTATGTAGAAATATTTATATTTTATAATTACTAATATATTGTTCGGGTCCGGATCGAATATTGGTCGGAATCTTATATTCTGTATCCGACCCCTTCTTTTTGTTAGAGTAAACAGGTCTGAGTCCGGGTATCGGAATTATATTTTTCAGCCCAAACCCGAAAAAATTTATCTGACCCGAGTCGGGTCTAGGTCCAAACCCGACCCATTGACACGGTAATGCTTCCATTTGCCATTACATTGACGGACTTAATAGTACTTCAAAACCTTATTCATGTTTCTTGCCAAGGACTAATATATCATGCTACGGTCAAATGCACAAGAAGATAAAAGGACACAGTAAATTCTCTACAGACCAGCCGGATAACGAAAATACAGGTGTTACAACCTTAAACTGAATACAAAAAGTATAGATGTTAAATATAACAATAATATGTCTATTGACTTGAGACAGTTACTCTTGTGACAGGCGCTTGAGATGTGATCCAGCAACATGCTTATGCCTTGATGATGAAGAGTGTAATTATCCCAATTCCATGCGAGATCAAGGGATCCGAAGAGCTCAGAACAGAGCCTAGATACGATTATAAAGGTCAAAGAAATTCATCCTGAGGAACTTCTAGCAAAGGTTGAATCTGTAACAAAACAGAAATCATTTGCTAGCAGAATTTACCTTAAAACGTCTTTTCAGAGTTGCTAAAAGCTTGTCAGGATCAAACTTTGTCGCTGTATAAGCCTTAATCTTATTAACTTCCTGTAAGAGTGAAACGAGTAGGTAACAAACAACTCAAGTGCTTCCAGTCCCAAGGAAAATGCAATGAGCTCTAAAGTATGTACTCCTCTCTTAACCAAAGTGATGTGTCAACAATAGTGCAAAATATCACATTCAGATCATGGATGCCATGATCGGTATGGAATTCAAAAAAAAAATGATACGTATGAAGATTATTCTGTCCAATATGCCGAACTGTTTTGTGAGACCAAGTCATTTCACTACATGCTTGGAGGATCATTAAGAATTGAAGGACTTAGATGACAAATTAAGATCTGCACTTGAACAATGCTTCCAGTTTCTCCCTTAAAATTTTCTAAATGATTTTTGTAAGGGAGACTGCTAGTAGATTCTTTGAGTACCTCAATCCATGCTGCTAGTTTTGGCCTGCCCTCTGTAATATCATACTTCTTGAAATCCAATAGGAATGGTTGGAACATTTCAATGTGTGGAGCAAAAACCATATCCACCTGAGTTCTTCAGGATATGAATCCAACTTATAGCGAATCCAAACATCATTCTGATTTCTTTTTTCATATCCCTTTCCGAATGCTTGAAAGAAGGACTTCATTCAAACACGATCTACGTGAAATTAAAAAAACTATAGGGGTCCATTGCACTTACCAGACTGAATTGTCCAAGGAAAAAGGGACCATCATCAAATTTGCCAAGGGCATCCTCAAGGTAATCAAAAGCAGCACCTGATCAAATCACCTACTTGAGTATCAAATATGACAGGAACTAGTAGCCAAAAAGCCATGAGCATTCAACTTACCAGTTTTACCTGCTCCATTTGCCATGAAAGAAGAAATTACACCTCCATAGAAAGAGTTGGAGTAGGAAAGCAACTTTTCAGCGAACGCTTTCCTGGCAGGATCCTGTATATTTAGTTAAGAGGACTTGGAACACAAGCTATCGAAAAATGCAGATAAAAAGCCGCAAATTTGCTCACTGAAATTTAACAGAAAGATGTTACTGTTAACAGGTATCTTGGGAGGAAAACATCTAGTCACATATTATGAGTGACCAACTAGTATTTATAGGAGTACAAACCTAACGACTATTTACAAGAATACCCTTACTAATTTATTATCTATAAGAATACTATATTCTCCTAACACTCCCCCTCAAGTTGGAGCATATATATCATAAGCACCCAACTTGTTACAAATGTATTTCACCCTAGAGCCCCCTAAACTCTTGGTAAATACATCAGCCAATTGATCTACAGACGGTACATGAGATGTCTTGATGACCCCGTCAAGCAATTTCTCTCGAATGAAATGACAATCAACTTCAATATGTTTTGTCCTTTCATGAAACACTGGATTAGACGCAATATGAACAGCCGCCTGATTATCACACACTAAATTCATAGGCTGTTTATGCTCAAACCCAAGTTCCAGTAACATGCTCTTCACCAAACCAACTCACACACAGTGTGAGCCATAGCGCGGTATTCAGATTCTGCACTTGATCTGGATACAACTGTTTGCTTCTTACTCTTCCACGACACTAAATTACCACCAACAAACACACAATATCCTGTAGTCGATCTTCGATCTGAGGCAGAACCAGCCCAATCTGCATCACTATATCCTTCAATATCAGTGTGTCCATGATTTTGATACAGCAACCCTTTTCCAGGAGCACTCTTAAGATACCTGAGAATCCGTATAACAGCATCCCAATGACTAGTACGAGGGGTATCAAGAAATTGACTCACAACACTCACTGCAAACGAAATGTCAGGTCTCGTTACAGTGAGATAATTTAATTTACCCACAAGTCTTCGATATTGCTTAGGATCATCAAGTAATGCACCTTGATCTCCTGCTAATTTCACATTGGGATCCATAGGAGTATCCACAGGTCGGCAACCTAACATCCCAACTTCACTCAACATATCGAGTACATATTTTCTTTGACATAAATAAATCCCATATTTAGACCGAGCTACCTCAATACCCAGAAAATACTGTAGATGACCTAAATCCTTTGTCTGAAAGTTTGCCTGCAGATTGGATTTAAGTTTCTGGATCCCCACAACATCATCACCTGTAATCACAATGTCATCCACATAAACAACTAATAAAATTTTACCAGCATTAGAATGCCGATAAAATACAGAGTGATCTACTCCACATCTTGTCAGACCGAACTCCATGACAACACTACTAAACCGGCCAAACCAAGCCCTCGGAGACTGTTTCAATCCATATAAGGATTTTTTCAAACGACAAACCAACCGCGGATTCTCCCCCTGAACAACAAATCCAGGAGGTTGTTCCATATATACCTCTTCTTCCAAATCTCCATGCAGAAATGCATTTTTCACATCCAACTGATGCAATGGCCAATTATAAGTTGCTGCCAAAGAGATAAGAAGACGACAGAGGTAATCTTTGCAACAGGAGAAAATGTTTCTAAGTAGTCTACTCCATACACCTGAGTAAATCCTCTAGCTACCAGCCGAGCCTTCAATCTATCAATAGAACCATTAGGCTGCACTTTTATAGTGTACACCCATTTACAACCAACAACAGGCTTACCTGAAGGACGAGGGACAAGATCCCAAGTACCATTTTGTTCCAAAGCAGACATCTCTTCTTGCATAGCTAATCTCCAACCAGGATGATTAAGAGCAT